TGCAAACCAACATATTGTAATTAATTCTTGTTTCAATGCTAATGCATCGCTTGAAATAGATGAAGCATGTTTTAGTATAGTTAATGAATATAATAGATCTGTTATTTTTTTCTACATGTATCGTGAACGGAGGTATATGATGCAAAAGTCTCAATGTGAAAATTTTCATGTAAGAAACGTCCACGTCATCATCATCATCATTCACGCAAGTCCCCAATGCGCGAATTTTGTACGGTTGGAGCCTTCGACATAAGATAGCGCTAGCGGCACTTCGTGATGTTACTGCTCGTATCCATACCTGCTTTTGACAGGTATAGGTTAAATTTGCAATGCAAGAGTGCAGTGTTATATAGCGTACGCTTTCATTTATAAAAAAGTAAAACTGCAAAATTCTTCGTGATACTTGCGGATAGTTGGATCAGGTATAAAATACACACACACATATCTGATAGTAAACATATATAGAATAGAATATAAACATCCTGTCATAAATGTATAGAATATTTTCTTATCTTATTTATAGAGACAAATAAAATATTGCAAAAGTAATTTATGCTATGTGTAAAAACAAAACATAACATTGTATTACATATAAAAATATTCTATATTTATGATAAGAAAGAGATGTATGTATTTTATAATATGTTTATTATAAGATATGTGTTTGTTTGTATTCTATACCTGATTCAACTATCCAAGTATCACGAATAATTATGCAGCTTCACCTTTTTATAAATGAAAGAGTGCTACGCTATATAAAGTTGCACTCTGGAAAATTTAACTTATACCTTGTGCTTTGCATACGCGTCGTAACGTGGAAGCAATAAGCGATATTTCGTGATATTTATTTCGCGATATAAAACGCACGATGCTAGCGAGCTAGAGATAAGACAAGCAAGCGGAGAACAAGCGTCGAAAGGTCGAAGAGCCGTCGGCTGGAAGAGTGGGGGGAGCCGAGCCTGAGCTCAGAGGTAGGGGGAAGAACCACTCGTGGCCCGCGGGCTGCGGGTTAGACAGGCCTGATCTATATTATCTGCATCTCTTATGTTGTAAGCTATAAATATTTGATGTTTACGCGACACGTGACAATATTAGAGAAAGCTAAATACACGCTATACATATTACAAAGTGAGTGAAAAAGTTGAGTGAGAAGAACATTGAAGCATATTCGCAGTTTAATATTGGGATCTGCTCCATATTTCTCCAACTCATCATCAAAAACCCGGTAATACAAAAACAATTTTTTATATAGGTTAAATTTAAGGTTATCGTTCTTTGTTTCGTCGTCTAATTTCGCCGTCGATAAAATTCTTGTTATGGATAAAGGCGTTTGGCCAGATTAGAGGCAGATGCATATTCTTTTAGTAGGTTATTACAGGCAAGACAAACCTTATCTTGCAATAATGCCAGTACAATGAACTCATTGAATATAAAATCTAATGAAGAAATTACTGCAGAGATGAGAAATGATAATAATATTGCTTACGTATCACCAGATCAAAAGAATAGAAATGATGACGATGCATTGCAACTGAATTCTATTGAACGTGATGTATTATTGCATGACTCTATAGAACCATCAATAAGTACAGATATTAGTGATATAGATGATAACTTTTTTGAAATGAGCAATAACTCTTTAAATGAACACGCAGATAAGAATTTTAATAAATCTGTAGCTGCGTGGGCAATAAAATATGGAATTACACACTCTGCGCTCATAGAACTTTTGAAAATTTTAAATACTTTTACAAATACTACGTTTCCGAAGGATCCCAGAACTCTTTTACAAACTCCTAGAAATACTGATGTTATTAAAATGGGAGATGGTCAATATTGTCACTTCGATATTGAAAGTATTATAAAAAAAATGATAACCGACATAAAAAAAGTGGTATGAATATTGCCACATTAGATTTGTTAATAAATATTGATGGAATGTCTATATCTCGATCCTCGAAAGGTTGTTTTTGGCCTATCCTTGTATCAGAAAATCTGTGTGCTAAAGTATTGCAGGACTGTATTATGGGTATACGAAACCAAAAGATTCCAATGAGTTCTTAAAAAGATTTGTGTCTGATATGAAACCATTAGTAACAACAGGATTTATTGACAATGGAATAATAATAAAAGTAAATTTAAGTGCATTGATTTGCGATGCACCAGCAAAATCATTTGTTCTTGGAGTAAAAAGCCATACAGGATTTTTTAGCTGTACAAAATGTACCATAAGAGGTGAATGGGATGGACGTATATGTTTTCCTGGAGTAAATGAGAACATCTCTTTACGAACTGATTTAGAACTGGCAGATAATAAATATATGGGAGAATATCAACAAGAGAAATGTATATTAAAAGAAATTGACAATTTTGGATTAGTTTCTTTTGTGCCACTTGATTACATGCATTTAGTTTGTTTAGGAGTGATGCAAAAATTAATAAGTTTATGGTTAAAACATGTATATTCAAAAAGAATAGCCAAAACCTTTTGCAAACGAGTTTCTCAACTGCTCAAAAATATAAGATTGACAGTTCCATCAGAATTTAATAGAAGGCCTAGATCTCTGAACGATTATAAACAATGGAAAGCTACAGAATTTAGAACTTTTCTTGTATATTTAGGGCCTGTTGTTTTAAGAGATATATTAGATAATGATATGTATAAAAAATTTTTAACGCTTCATGTTGCTATTTCAATATTATCGAATCAAGCTTCTTGTAAGGAAGATTATTATTTAGATTACGCTGAAAATCTATTGAAACATTTTGTTCATTCTTTAGCAAAACTATATGGTAAAGCACATGCATCTCACAATATACACAATTTATTACATCTTGTCGCAGACGTAAGAAAATTTGGAATATTAGACAACTTTAGTTGCTTCAGGTTTGACAATTATATGTCAAAAATTAAAAAATTATTGAGAAAAGGAGACAAACCATTGCAACAACTTTCACGAAGATATGGCGAAATTGAAAGTGTAAATAAAAAATATGAAAAAATAAGAAGCGCTTCATTATATTTAGAAAATAAACATTTTGATGGTCCTCTACACCAAAACAGTAATATTAAAGGTCAATACAAAACGTTGCGCAATTCATTATATACGATCCGTTGTAACGATAAAAGAAACAATTGCTGCATATTAAAAAATGGAGATTATATAGAAGTGGAAAGCATTAGTCAATGTGCAGATGAAATAATATATATAATCGGGAAAAAATTATTGAAAGTACAAGATTTATATGACGTGCCTATGAAGTCTTCACTTTTACAAATAAATATTGTGAATAAAAATAACGAAAAACAAAATTTAAATGCATGGACCATTGATAATGTGACAGCAAAAGCTTTGAAAATTTCATATGGCGAACAGTTTGTCATATGCCCCTTAATACATACTTACAAAAACTGATATACGTAATATATAATATGTAATATTTACAACATGAATAAGAATACGATTCAAAGAATAGTTATAATTATATTATTTGCAAATTCTGTTTGTGTTCCTATAAAATGAAATTATTTTTTTTTGCTCATTCTATATTTATATTATGACTATCTATACTTTCAGCAAAAATATGACTACATTGAAAGCTTATACAATAATAGAATTTGAGGATGGCCTGGCAATAGTGCCTTCACATTGGTTAAGCGATGATGAAACAAAATGCGCTTATCCCACTTTTCGGGATCCAGCAAAAATAAAAAAAGCTGTCGCGTCACAATTCTTCCCTGAAGAAAACAATCCGAACTGAAAAATATATGATGCCTTACGGATTTTTTATAGAACAAGTTCGATTCAATTCTCAAAAATTTGATTATTATATTAATTATTTATAAATATATTGATTTGTCTTTTTTATGATGTTTGTTTGTATTTTCAGATTCATATGAAAAAGCAAAAGAAAAGCTACTCATTGCTGAAAATGTATCAGATTTAACGGCTGATGAAAATACAGAAGATGAGATCAAAAGACAAAAAATGCGACAAAGACAAAAAATCGAGACATGTGCGAGCTAAGAAAAATTATTCTTCGTCGGAGGAATATGAATCCGATTCTGGCAAAAATAAAAAAGGAACAAAATTCATACCTTTTCCGACAATTCCAGAGAAATTATATATTACGAATAATAAGATTTCTGCAAGTCAGAAGTTTCATACTTCCATACCATCGTCATGTAATGTAGAAAGATCAAAATCTGAATGTCAAATGAGTCCTGCTATACATACTAAAAATTCATGTGAAGAAGCAACAATAAATAGATATATAGAACGGAATTTATCGGATGAAAATAGTAACTCATACAATTTTAAGATTGGAAAATATAAAAATATGTGTACTGAAAACAACAATTTAATAACTACAGAAAATGGTTAGTGATTTTAAAAATATAGTAAGATATAGTAATATATAGTAATAAATAGTAATAATATATTTATTTATAATAAAATTTGTTAATTCATTACACCAGTGTTTATTATAATTGCAGGATATTTTCCAGCAAATTACACAGATGACATAGTCAGCAGCATACAGTATCACACGATTGGCTATCAAATATGGAATTTTATATTTATATTATGACTATCTATACTTTCAGCAAAAATATGACTACATTGAAAGCTTATACAATAATAGAATTTGAGGATGGCCTGGCAATAGTCCCTTCACATTGGTTAAGCGATGATGAAACAAAATGCGCTTATTCCACTTTTCGGGATCCAGCAAAAATAAAAAAAGCTGTCGCGTCACAATTCTTCCCTGAAGAAAACAATCCGAACTGGAAAATATATGATGTCTTACGGATTTTTTATAGAACAAGTTCGATTCAATTTTCAAAAATTTGATTATTATATTAATTATTTATAAATATATTGATTTGTCTTTTTTATGATGTTTGTTTGTATTTTCAGATTCATATGAAAAAGCAAAAGAAAAGCTACTCATTGCTGAAAATGTATCAGATTTAACGGCTGATGAAAATACAGAAGATGAGATCAAAAGACAAAAAATGCGACAAAGACAAAAAATCGAGACATGTGCGAGCTAAGAAAAATTATTCTTCGTCGGAGGAATATGAATCCGATTCTGGCAAAAATAAAAAAGGAACAAAATTCATACCTTTTCCGACAATTCCAGAGAAATTATATATTACGAATAATAAGATTTCTGCAAGTCAGAAGTTTCATACTTCCATACCATCGTCATGTAATGTAGAAAGATCAAAATCTGAATGTCAAATGAGTCCTGCTATACATACTAAAAATTCATGTGAAGAAGCAACAATAAATAGATATATAGAACGGAATTTATCGGATGAAAATAGCAACTCATACAATTTTAAGATTGAAAAATATAAAAATATGTGTACTGAAAACAACAATTTAATAACTACAGAAAATGGTTAGTGATTTTAAAAATATAGTAAGATATAGTAATATATAGTAATAAATAGTAATAATATATTTATTTATAATAAAATTTGTTAATTCATTACACCAGTGTTTATTATAATTGCAGGATATTTTCCAGCAAATTACACAGATGACATAGTGAGCAGCACACAGTATCACACGATTGGCTATCAAATATGGAATTTGTAAAGTCCTGAAAATTTCTTTATTTGATAGCCAATCATGTGATATTGTGTGTCATCTGTGTGGCATGCTGGGAAACACCCAGAGATAAGTACGTACCGATATATATATATATATATATATATACATACATGTCGATATATGTATATATATGTGGGTAGTATAGAGGCGTGTTCGCCTTCGGAAGATGGCGCGAGGGATAGGTAGAGCGTAAAGAGGTGAAGTCAATCACGAGACTTCTTTTCTAAGTGTAACAATAAAATATATTTACAGTATATGTACAAAACTTACTATACTAAATTCAGATGGCCCTGAAAAGGGCCGGTTAGGGGCTAACGCTGAGAGTGTTCCCGCTAAGTGATACGAGGCTCGGTGGTGGTTATTCGGAGGGAACCGATGTATGGTAGCACGGGCAAGGGAACGCGTCGAAGTGCCAGTGGAGTCCCGGGTGGCGTGTAGCTGCGTTCCTTGCAGGCTGTCTCCACCTGCGTGGCCGTGTCACATGTGCTGGCTTCCCAATCGCTGTCCGATTGAGTGGAGTTGTCAGTCTGCGTCAGTGGTTGATACTGCGTACCCCTGTGCACTCGTGTGGCCGGCTGTGATTGGGTCCCGCAATCTCGATGGAGGATTGGTGAGGCTGCGAGCGGTGACAAGAGCAGAGGTGGCAGGCCCCACGGCGTTGAGGGTGACGTGTATCGCCGTACCCGGACGTCGCACTGGCTCAGGAAGAAACGTGGAGGCCGGGTGTATTGCACCGGCGCCAGCTCTATCGGATGTAGCTTCCACTCTCTGTAGCTCGTGCACACTCGGTCGCCTGTAGGTCCTGGTGTCCTTTCTCCCTCACAGGGGGGCTGCCGTCTAGTCCCGGGTGAAGTGGGAGGCAGCTGTGGTCGAGGAAGACTCAGGTCCTGCGGTAATACTGGAGGCAACGTAGGCTGTCGCTATACAAAAGAATTTGTAGGCTCGGACTGACTATCGGGCAGGAGATCCTTCCCTCAGTCAGAGCGGGCCGCGAATCGAAGTCTTCTCGTCGTGCGCCGTCTTATAAACCCCACTCACTGGATTTCACTTGCTGGCGCCGACTCCCGCTCGTGGCCGCCTCACGGCGAGCCTTCGTGGCTCGCGCGCGGGTTTCATGTGCTCCGCGCGTGAGAATTCGTTCGCGCGTCTACCGGGTAGTTCGCGCGTAATTGTGGTGATTTCTCGAACCGCCACAGGACCTCCTTGGTTGTATGGAAGTCCCTTAAGTGTTGAACCTGATTGGCGGGCGAGATACTCGTCCGCTTCTTGTCGTGGCTGGTCGTACTGTTGTTTCTTGGTTGGTGGCTTGTGGTCCTTCTTCTTCTTCTTCCATGGTGTACGCTGGTTTCAGCCTGTCTATCGATACGTTGACTGTTTTGTTGTTCATCCGTATCTTGTATGTTTTTTCATTTCTGTTTAGCACTTCGTAAGGTCCGTCGTATGGTGGCTGTAGTGCTCCTGATGGTGCGCTGTGTCGCACGAAGACTTTTGCTGTTTTGTCCATGTCTTTGTAAATGAACGTTGCTCGTTGTCCATGCCTTTTGATAGCTGGACTGAGTTTGGTCATGATGCTTCGTAGTCTGTTCACGAGGCTGGTTTTGTCTTCCGCGTCGTTGCTTTTCCCTGCCAAGAATTGTCCAGGTAATCTCATCGGTTCTCCGTAGACTAATTCTGCCGTTGTTGCGTTTATGTCTTCCTTCCAGGCGGCCCTGATGCCCATCAGTACGACTGGGAGGATTTCTGTCCAGTCTTCTGTTTGATGGCATTTGATGGCTGCTTTTAATTGCCTGTAGAAACGTTCTATCATCCCGTTAGCTGCCGGGTGGTACGCTGTTGTCCTTATATGTTTTGTGCCTGTCATTTGCGTTAGGCGTTTGAAAAGATCTGTTTCGAATTGTCTTCCTTGGTCGGTCGTGATTCTTTCTGGAGTACCGAATCGCGCGATCCAGTTTATAAACAGGTGCTTTGCTATCGTTTCTGCCGTGATGTCTGTTAGTGGGATCGCCTCCGGCCATCTTGTAAAACGGTCTATTATGGTGAGGCAGTAGCGTTTGTTATTGGATGTTGGCATTGGTCCGACTATGTCCATGTGTATGTGCTGGAAGCGTCTTGTTGGTGGGTCGAACTCTCCTATCGGTGCTACGTTGTGTCGAGTGATTTTCGCTCGTTGGCATTGAATGCATGTTTTGGCCCATCTGCTGCAATCCTGCTGTATTCTTGGCCATACATATCTTTGCGATATTAGTTTCGCTGATGCCTTTGCTCCTGGATGAGCTAGGCTGTGTAGGGAGTTGAATATTCTCCTCCTGAATTGTTGTGGCACGTATGGTCGTGTTATCGGGGTTGACGTGTCGCAGTATAATGTTGTTGTCGTTCCCGGTATTGCGACTTTCGTGAGCAGCAGACTTTGTTTCGTACTCCTTATCTCTTGCATTTCTGAGTCCTGTAATTGTGCTTCTGCTATTTCTTCGAAGTTGACTGCCTCTTCTATTGCTTCTACTCTGGAAAGGGTGTCGGCTACTACGTTTTCTTTCCCTGCTATGTGGCGAATGTCTGTTGTAAATTGGCCGATGTACTCCAAGTGTCGTGCTTGGCGTGGTGAGCTTCTTAGCGGATCTTGGTCAAATGCGTAGATGATTGGTTTGTGGTCCGTGTATATAATGAACCGTCTCCCTTCTAGCATATGGCGGAAGTGTTTAATCGCTGTGTATATAGCCAGTAGCTCTCGATCGTATGGACTGTACTTCGTTTGTGGTCTGCTGAGTTTTTTGCTTAGGAATGCTAGTGGTTGCCATTCCCCTTTAACTTTCTGTTGTATGACCGCTCCTAGTGCTGTGTCCGAGGCGTCCGTCGTTACGGTCAGTTCTGCTGTTGGATCTGGGTGTGCTAGGAGTGCTGCTCTAGATAGGCTGTTTTTGCAATTGACAAATGCTTCTTCCATTTCTGGCGTCCATTGGATTAGTTGTTGTCCCCTCTTCTTTGGTCCTCTCAATACTTCGCTCAACGTTGCTTGGTCCTTTGCTGCTCCTGGGATGAAACGTCTGTAGAAGTTGATGGTTCCCAGAAATTGTCGCATGTGTTTGACCGTCTTTGGAGAAGGGAAGTTTTTGATTGCTTCCACCTTCTCTGGTAGCGGTCTGGTGCCTTCTGCTGAGACCAGGTAGCCCAAGAATTTAACCTGTGCGGCTGCGAAGGTGCACTTGGCTGGGTTAATTCTCACCCCGTTGGTTTCTAGTCGGGTGAAAAGTTCCCTCATGTGCTTTTCGTGTTCTTCTTCTGTTGCTGATGCTACAAATATGTCAACTATGTATGCATAGCAGAAGTCTAGTCCCCTTAATATTTCGTTAATGAATCTTTGGAAGGTTTGTGCTATGTTTCGAAGTCCAAACGGCATGAATTTGAATTCGTATAATCCAAATGGCGTGGTGATTGCTGTCTTTGGTACGTCCTCTTCATGTACCGGGATTTGGTTATATGCTCTCACTAGCGTTGAGAAAACTTTTTTCTTGTGCAATGTTTGCGCGAAGTCCTCTATGTGCGGTATCGGATAACTATCTGGTATTGTGCGTGTGTTTAATCTTCTATAATCTCCGCACGGTCGCCACGCTTCTTTTCCCTTGGGCACCATATGAAGTGGTGCTGACCATGGGCTTTTCGATGGCTGGATTATCCTTGTCTTATAAACCCCACTCACTGGATTTCACTTGCTGGCGCCGACTCCCGCTCGTGGCCGCCTCACGGCGAGCTTTCGTGGCTCGCGTGGTGCTCGCGCGCGGGTTTCACGTGCTCCGCGCGTGAGAATTCGTTCGCGCGTCTACCGGGTAGTTCGCGCGTAATTGTGGTGGTTTCTCGAACCGCCACATATATGTACACACATTACAATTGCCATTTTTTAATGTGTTTTTACTTTTACAGAATTTCAAAGAGAGGTCATAAGAAAGTTACAATTATTACTCAATAAAATGACTGTTTTGGAGAATAGAATGGTCTTATTGGAAACATCAAGCTTGATGCGGCATTGTAATTATGAAGCAGCCGATGTTATACAGTATGAGGAGTATGATCTGCCATTGGAAACTATAGCGGCATTAAAACATTTAGAGGAATTATTAAAAGATAGATCATTCGCAGATAAAATGGTAAGAATGTAGTAATATATATAATATAATATT